CTGAATATTAACACATAGGTTTCGTTGGGGTTTTTTGGGGGGGAGAGAGAGATCTGAAGCTACTCTGCGAAAATTGAATGAGCAGCCCGGAGTGAGTGCTGCTCAGTGTTATTCCGGAGGGTTGCAGGGCTGCAGCAGCAGAGGTGTCGGGAGGAGCTGGTTCTGGGCTCCTCATTTACATCACTCGGGTTCGCCCGGGGGCAAAACCTTCGTTCAGCTCCACTGATCTCCTGGGAAGATTTGTGAGCAAATTTGCTCACTGAACATTGTTACCTGGCCTTTTGCAAGAAATGACTTGAGCAAAGAAAAGGAGAAAAAAAAAAAAAATCAAATACATATGTTCTTTTTTTTTTTTTTTTATTTATTTCATTCGGGAATTTTTATTTGTTGGGAAGTTAGTTGGTAAATAAATTTTTTTTTTTGTGCATATGTTTTCTTCGTTAGAGATATTGGAGCTGGGGATAAACAAATGATTTTTTTTTTTGCTGGAAATTAAAAATCATTGTGCAAAGGAACAGGCTGGCTGCCACTGAAACATTTTTGATAGAAAATCTGCCTGCAGCCCTAGTGCTTAATCAGTTTGGAGCAGAGCGTAGCCTGTAGCTTGTTAATAAGAGCAGCTTGCCCGAGCGGCTCACACAATGGTGAGTTGCAGAGGAGGTTTGTTGCATAGCTGTGGATTTGATTTTGCAGCTCTGTTAATTAAAACATATTTTACTTTGAAGGAGGTTTTTACTGTTTTCTATGAGGGTGAGCAGAAAACTGTTCTCTCGGGTAGATTAAAGGAGGGATATGCAGTATTTATTTAGAAGTAAAACTTTGCTTTGTTTGATGGGCAAAGCGAGCAAATAAAAAAAAAAGTGTAATTTCTTATTTTTATTTGTTCTCAGTTCTTGTATTTGAGGTGGTTTATAAGCTGGAACATCGTGGATGTTTTGATAATGTCAAACTAAATTTTCACGTACAAGTTGCCAGACTGTAACAGAAAAGTCACAAATTCTTGTTTAATTAATAAAGTGATTTTTTGACTTATATAAAGGTATACTGAAATAATAAGGCCAGAAACTGTGCCACTGAAGTTAATGACAAACCCTTCATAGGTTTCATATAAAGCTTGTATTTTTATTATCCCAGTTCCACTGACTTTTGTTGCGAGTTTGCAGCAAAATGTTAGGGCATTTCTAAGTGTTATTTTTATTATACAAAACCCCATTAAAATCAGTACTGAAGCATCCCATTAATTTAAATGGGACTTTGCATAGTTTGCTGAGTTCCAGGCCACAGATAAAGAGAAGTATGCAATTTGGAGTTAAACTGACCACAGCTTTTTATTAGAAGACATTTAATCTTGAACGAACAGCGCAGTCTCAGGCATAAAGCCTTTGTGAACTTCATCTGGGCTGGTGCAATCGGAGCCTCCATCATGCAGCAGCTCCTGGGCTGGTCGTCTGAGACCTCTCAGGACCAGAAAGTATTCCCAAGCAAACCCAAGCAAAGCTCTGCCCAGGCAGTTTTGCCTGGGAAATGCTAATAGGTAAGGCAGCACACCCAGAACAAATGGAAAACTTGAGTCGGGTATTTCTCTGGCTCCAAGGATCTGCTTGCCTTGACAAAAGCAGCAGTCTGGGAGCTCTCTGCAGGGTCCCACCGGTCCCGTGCGAGATGGAAGCGATGCAGCTTCAGAAATCCCAGTTTGAACTGGAAACCGCTGGGAGGAATGCGCAGAGCCATCGCCTCTGGGGTGTGGAAACACTCACCAGCCAGACCCCGGCAAGGGCACTGCAAAAACCAGTGAGCAGGGTGGTGGGGAGAGGCATTTTACACGGGAGATCCTCCTTTGGGGACTTCGTGGGCTAAGGGCACACAGCTGGGCACCTCCAAGGGCATATTGCTCTGCTTGGGCAAAGCAGCCCTAAAGTATACCTCAAGCACACCAAGCCCCAAATAATTCAAACTCGAACCATTGTGGGGGAGACACAAAGCAGAGCATCCCTAAAAGTGCCCAGGGAAGGTGTAGGAATTGCTTTCTGCTCAGTGTGTCTTTTTGGGGTTTTCCTTTCCCTGAGCCACAAATGTGTCAAGATGCCCAAATTTCGCCCAGCAGCAACAGATCTGTTTTCCCTGGTACAATCACAGGGCAGGGGGACACGGTGAGGGATATCAGCTCAGAAATCCAAGCTGGCTGTGTCCCTGGTCCCCAGTCCTTTCCTGCAGACTGAGTTTCGGGTCGGGGGCTGGTTCAGGATTCTGACAACAACTGGAACTCGGCGCAGAGTTAGGCTAAACGTGAGCGCCGCTGCTCTGCTTTAGGACTGACAGTGCTACCTCCAGGAACAGGAGAAACGAACACCGAAAATTCCGGCTAAAAAATCCCAGCGGAGAGCTGGCAGAACCCCTCCCGCCTGGAAACTGGGAAGGAAATCAGTCCTTGTGCTACTCTGGTGACACTCCTGTGGCTATAGTAAGGGATGGAGTAGCCGAGAAAAAACAGATTTCGCTCTGCTGAGCCCCCGGCTTGGCACTAAAGACCCTGCTGAGCCCCCCAGCCCCGGGACGGGCACAGAGACCCGCGATCCCCGGGGAACGGGACCATCCGAGGCCGCGCAAATAACGCGTTTGTGCAGGGGGATAGCCCCGGTTATTCCTACAGCCGGGACCGGATAATTCACGGATTCGTTAGATTAATTCTAGCATTTCGGGCGAAATATTAATAGTCATCGTAATAGTAAAGAAATAGTCGTTAAATAGGAAATGATTAGTAATCAAATAGTCCTGAAATCAGAGGGGTTTGTGCTTGCAAAAGCTTTGGGAGATAAAAAAAAATTTCAATCGAACAACCTTTAAAATTCAGGGTGTCGGAGAAATTTGGAGAAACAAGAGGAAAAAGCACCTAGGCAAAACGGCTGCAAGGGAGGGAGAGGTGCCAGGGTTGAGAGCCGCCAGGGATGCTCTTTGGGGAGGCAAAAAAACCCGACCCACGGCTCCAAGTGTTGGGATTTCGTGTGAGCAGCAATGCAGCGGCCAGGAGGGCTGGATCCCCAGCCCCGGCAAAGAAAGTGGGAACAGTCTCCATGAAACTAGAGGTGGGGAGAGTTTGCACTGCCCCTGGGGACTGCAGGGTGTGGGTTCCCTGCCTGCTGGGGACTGGGGGCACTGGGGGGACTGGGGGAGACGGCGCAATTACCGGGGGAAGCGCTGGGACCCTCCCCAAAATGCCAACACAGGGCGGAGGGGCAGAAAGATGCTTTGCTTCTTGTTTAGTCACTCTCTTCAACACAGCCAGAAAAGAACATTAAAGGCATTTCTAGATTTCGTTTCGGTTTAGTTTTTTTTTTTTTTTAAGTTTTTTTTTTTTTTCCCTTGCTTTTAATTTTGAAAAAAAAATCACAAAACATAACTTATAAAACAATATATATACTGCATCCTTATCCACAACAGCATAATTGAAACATCCAGCGTAACGTTTACCACAGGTGTGAAATACACTGGGAAAGAAGTACCGTGTGCATTTTATGTTTCTTTGTCATCTACAGGTAATAAGTATCGACAAAAATAAGCAACAAATATGCCTGCAATTAAACTTCATATGCGTTTTGTATGCGTATTAATAAAAAATCATATTTATCATTTCCATGTTTTGTCTTTTTTTTTGCCAACAAGCACTTGTAAAAGTATCTACATTTACATGACACCTTAAGATAATAACACCTTAAGATTTTTTTTTTTTTTTGGTTCCTTGTTTTTCCTTCACATTTAGAAAAGCAAGGAACGCTTTCAGCTTTGCTAAGAACCTTTCTGGACGCCGAGGCTCGCTGTTTCTCTAGCAGAGATGCAGTATCTGAAATCACTTCATAACAGACCATTTTTCGTCTTTTTTTTTTTTTTTTTCTGGACTCTCTAAAAGGGGGGTGGTTTTCTTTTTTATTAAAGAGAGTTTTTTTGGACATTTTAAAGATAAAAAACACCCCCTGCATTTAAATAAAGATGAATGATAATTTCATTATCAGGATAAGACTTTGGCTGGGGAAAAAGATGAGCAGTTTTCGCATCGCTGAAGGGTTTCTGTGCTCGCTCACAACCGGGGATACTGCAGTCCTTTGGAAAGGATGAAGAGGTAGAAACCTTGAGCTGCTTAATATCAGGAATGACTGGATTATAGCTTCCAACTAAAGAAAAAACATCAAGAATCATGCATTTTAAAAACAGTTTATTCAACGGCCAAGGACAATGATCCGGCACAATGCAACGGTAGATATAAATATAACCTTATATAAGTGGTTGACCCTTGTCATTATTATTTTTAATAGTTTCATACCTAATATTTTAACCATTTTCCCTCGCAGATTCTGCTCTGCGATTTATATTTTTTTTTTTTGCCTCCCCTCTCCCCCCCCCCCTTTTTTTTTTTTTTTTTTTTTTTTTTTTTTTTTTTCCGAGTGTGATTCTGTTTCTCAGTGGTAAACATTAACCAAACTCTTCGCGTGCGACAAGCGGCCAAGAACCGTCCCACCAGCTCTTACCACCGAGGCGTCCCCTCCTGCCGCCCTCCCCGCGGGGCAGCGGCCGTACCGACTCCTGTGCAAGTTCAAGTAAACACATACAACCCGCATAATCCAGAGAAAAAAATTGCAACTCATCCATGTACCGGATTTCGGTCTTTTGCAAAAGTTTTCTGGTCCGTTTACGGCTTTTGATGGAGTTATCTTTTTAAAAACTTTATCTTTTGAAAACGCTATTTTTGTTGGTTGCATCGTTGCTTTGCATGAAGAAATTTTTTTCTAGACAGTCGAAGTCCGCGGAGCTTTTGGGGCTTTTTTTTTTTTTTTTTTCGGGGTGGTGCTTTGTTTTAATTTATTTTTTTTTTTCCCTCTCTCAGTTGCTTGGGTTTTGCTTTTAATTATCATCGGGTTTAATTTTTTTTTCTTTTCCGTTAAACGTCACTTTGTTTCTGCTTTGCTTTGTCGGCGGTGCTTTGTCGGAGGTGGTTTGTGTCAAGTCTGTCAACTGTTGTACTGACAGGCGTTTAGACTAGAGCCGGGGCTTTGCAAACTGCTGTAGCCGAAACTGGAGTGCTGCTTTGATTTCAGTCTGAGGCTGGCTAAGCTGGAGTTGCAAGTGTCCCGGTAGACGCTGTAGGGCGAGCCCGGTGGCCCGTAGGGACAGGCTGGGGAGGACATAGCCGAGTTGAGCGAGGAGCCGCTGATGTTGTTGATGTTGTTGAGACCGGAGTTGGCCATGCCCGGCACGGCCGAGTGGCCCATACTGGAGGGCATGTTCATGGAAGGGATGCTACTGGGAGCCGAGAACATGGACTGCGAGGACAGGGGG